ACATATAGAATATTTACCTGACCGAATAACACAGCCGGCACACCAATACTTACTGTGACAAGAGACAGCGATGTATATCACAGCCGACACAGCAATACTTACTGTGACAAGAGACAACATATAGAATATTTACCTGACCGAATAACACAGCAATGCGACACACCAATACTTACTGTGACAAGACAACGTATATATCACAGCCGACACAACAATACTTACTGTGACAAGACAACATATAGAATATTTACCTGACCGAATAACACAGCCGGCACGCAACCAATACTTACTGTGACAAGACAACGTGTATATCACAGCCGACACAACAATACTTGATTGTGACCAAGACAACATATAGAATATTTTACCTGACCGAATAACACAGCCGACACACCAATGCTTGCTGTGACAAGACAGACAACGTATATATCACAGCCGACACAGCATAATACTTACTGTGACAAGACAACATATAGAATATTTACCTGACCGAATAACACAGCCGGCACACCAATGCTTGCTGTGACAAGACAACGTGTATATCACAGCCGACACAACAATACTTACTGTGACAAAGACAACATATAGAATATTTACCTGACCGAATAACACAGCCGGCACACCAATACTTACTGTGACAAGACAACGTATATCACAGCCGACACAACAATGCTTACTGTGACAAGACAACATATAGAATATTTACCTGACCGAATAACACAGCCGGCACCAATACTTACTGTGACAAGGACAACGTGTATATCACAGCCGACACAACAATACTTACTGTGACAGAGACAACATATAGAATATTTACCTGACCGAATAACACAGCCGGCACACCAATACTTACTGTGACAAAGACAACGTATATCACGGCCGACACAGGCAATACTTACTGTGACAAGACAACATATAGAATATTTACCTGACCGAATAACACAGCCGGCACACCAATGCTTACTGTGACAAGACACAGACAGCGTATATATCACAGCCGACACACAACACTTACTGTGACAAGACAAACATATAGAATATTTACCTGACCGAATAACACAGCCGGCACGCACCAATTACTTACTGTGACAAGACAACGTATATATCACAGCCGACACAACAATACTTGCTGTGACAAGACAACATATAGATATTTACCTGACCGAATAACACAGCCGACACACCAATGCTTACTGTGACGAGACAACGTATATATCACAGCCGACACAACAATGCTTACTGTGACAAGACAACATATAGAATATTTACCTGACCGAATAACACAGCCGACACCAATACTTACTGTGACAAGACAACGTGTATATCACAGCCGACCACAACAATACTTGCTGTGACAAGACAACATATAGAATATTTACCTGACCGAATAACACAGCCGACGACCAATACTTACTGTGACAAGACAACGTATATATCACAAGCCGACACAACAATACTTGCTGTGACAAGACAACATATAGAATATTTACCTGACCGAATAACACAGCCGGCACACCAATACTTACTGTGACAAGACAACGTATATATCACAGCCGACACAACAATGCACTGTGACAGAGACAACATATAGAATATTTACCTGACCGAATAACACAGCCGGCACAGCCAATACTTACTGTGACAAGAGACAACGTATTATATCACAGCCGACACAACAATACTTACTGTGACAAGACCAACGTATATAATGTGACCTGACCGAATAACATATCAGAATGCTTACTGTGACAAGACAACGTATATATCACAGCCGACACGCCAATACTTGCTGTGACAAGGACAACATATAGAATATTTACCTGACCGAATAACACAGCCGATATCACAGCCGACACAATACAATTTTACTGTGACAAGACAACATATAGAATATTTACCTGACCGAAGAATAACACACCACACCAACACTTACTGGTGACAAGACAACGCATATTACTGTGACAATTCTTAGGACAACATATATAGAATGTTTACCTGACCGGATAACACAGCCGACTACACCAATGCTTACTGTGACAAGACAACGTATATATCACAGCCGACACAACAATACTTACTGTGACAAGACAACATATGCGATATTTACCTGACCAGACAACACGAATGACGGCACACCAATATTACTTGACTCGACCGAATGTATACACAGCCGGCACACCAATACTTACTGTGACAAGACAACATATAGAATATTTACCTGACCGAATAACACAGCCGGCACACGCAATACTTACTGGTGACAAGACAACGCATATATCACAGCCGACACAACAATACTTACTGTGACAAGACAACATATAGAATATTTACCTGACCGAATAACACAGCCGGCACACCAATGCTTACTGTGACAAGACAACGTATATCACAGCCGACACAACAATACTTGCTGTGACCGGACAAACATATCGGAATATTTACCTGACCGAATAACACAGCCGACACACCAATACTTGCTGTGACAAGACAACGTATATATCACAGCCGACAACAATACTTACTGTGAAGACAACATATAGAATATTTACCTGACCGAATAACACAGTTTACAATACGGCAATACTTACTGTGACAAGAGACAACATATAGAATATTTCACCTGACCGAATAACACAGCCGGCACACATAATACTTACTGTGACAAGATATATCATTATGTATACCTGACCGACACAACATAATACTTACTGTGACAAGACAACCACATGAGAATGTTGCCTGACCGAGATAACACAGCCGGCACCTGACCAATACAGCCTGGCACGACTTACTTTGACAAGACAACGTGTATATCACAGCCGACACAACAATACTTACTGTGACAAGGACAACATATAGAATATTTACCTGACCGAATAACACATGCCATACGCACATCAATACTTACTGTGACAAGACAACGTATATATCACAGCCGACACAACAATACTTACTGTGACAAGACAACATATAGAATATTTACCTGACCGAATAACACAGCCGGCAACACCAATACTTGCTTGTGACAAAGACAACGTGTATATCACAGCCGACACAACAATACTTACTGTGACAAGACAACATATAGAGATATTTACCTGACCGAATAACACAGCCGGCACGCCAATACTTACTGTGACAAGACAACGTATATATCACAGCCGATAACAACAATACTTACTGTGACAAGACAACGCATATAGAATATTTACCTGACCGAATAACACAGCCGACGAACACCAATACTTACTGTGACAAGACAACGTATATATCTGGCCGACAACAATACTTACTGTGACAAGACAACATATAGAATATTACCTGACCGAATAACACAGCCGGCTTTTTACCAACGCTTACTGTGCTGACAAGACAACGTATATATCACAGCCGACACAACAATACTTACTGTGACAAGACAACATATAGAATATTTACCTGACCGAATAACACGACCGACACACCAATGCTGTGACAAGACAACGTGTATATCACAGCCGACACAACAATACTTGTGACAAGACAACATATAGAATATTTACCTGACCGAATAACACAGCCGACACACCAATACTTACTGTGACAAGACAGCGTATATATCACAGCCGACACAACAATACTTACTGTGACAAACAACATATAGAATATTTACCTGACCGAATAAGCACAGCCTGTGACAAGACGCGTATACTCACAACGACCAGACACAACAATATTTACTGTGACGAATAACACAACATATAGAATACTTACCTGACCGAATAACACAGCCGGCACAACAATACTTGCTGTGAAAAGACAACGTATATAGAATGTTTACCTGATATCACAAGCCGACACAACAATGCTTACTGTGACAAGACAACATATAGAATATTTACCTGACCGAATAACACAGCCGGCGCACCAATGCTTTACTGTGACAAGGACAACGCATATATCACAGCCGACACAACAATACTTACTGTGACAAGACAACATATAGAATATTTACCTGACCGAATAACACAGCCGGCACACCAATACTTACTGTGACAAGACAACGTATATATCACAGCCGACACAACAATACTTACTGTGACAAGACAACATATAGAATATTTACCTGACCGAATAACACAGCCGACACACCAATACTTACTGTGACAAGACAACGTGTATATCACAGCCGACACAACAATACTTACTGTGACAAGATCGAACATATAGAATATTTACCTGACCGAATACTTACAGCCGACACAACACCAATTACTTGACCGAATGACACAGCCGACAACGTACTTACTATCACAAGACAACGTATATCACAGCCAATCAATAACAATACTTTACTGTGACAAGACAACATATAGAATATTTACCTGACCGAATAACACAGCCGGCACACTAATACTTGACGGCGACACTGACAACGCATATATCATGAACAATATACTTACATCTATTGACATGGATAACGTATAGAATGTTACCAGACCGAAGGATAACCTGACACACCAATACTTACTGTGACAAGACAACGTGTATATCACAGCCGACACAACAATACTTACTGTGACAAGACAACATATAGAATATTTACCTGACCGAATAACACAGCCGGCACACCAATACTTACTGTGACAAGACAACGTGTATATCACAGCCGACACAACAATACTTACTGTGACAAGACAACATATAGAATATTTACCTGACCGAATAACACAGCCGACACACCAATACTTACTGTGACAAGACAACGTATATATCACAGCCGACACAACAATACTTACTGTGACAAGACAACATATAGAATATTTACCTGACCGAATAACACAGCCGGCACACCACAGACAATACTAATGTATCACAGCCGACTGTGACAAGACAACATATAGAATATTTACCTGACCGAATAACACAGCCGACACACCAATACTTACTGTGACAAGACAACGTATATATCACAGCCGACACAACAATACTTACTGTGACAAGACAACATATAGAATATTTACCTGACCGAATAACACAGCCGGCACACCCCCTTCAACGTAACTCTTGATTGTTAGTTGTATGGGAAAGTCATTGGCATAATAATTGTATGTGATTCTTTTCCAGAACCCTATCATGTCCTTTCCCTGGTCATTCTCAAAGTTTCTTAATGTGAGGTTTCCAACTTGGCCAAGCCTTCCATCAGTGGTATACTTGTCGCCATTGACGAAGAAGAACGCTTGTGACCCCCTGATCCACCAGTTGTCGTTCACGTAGACGTTGTAGTAGCCAGTTGCAGATGTGTCCACTCGTAATCCTTCGCCGCTAACTGAAGGAAAGGTAAGTCGTATTTGTTAATGCTTTTCTGATAACGCTGTATCCGGCATGATAACAGTTACTTCAGTATAATTTATATATAATGGTAACGGATAACTGTGAGGGTTGAGGACAACGACCAGCCAATCCACAGAGAATGACCAACCGATCCTCGTTATAGTCAGCTCTAAATTTAGTGTAGCAGCTTTTCACAAAAGTTAGCTTGGGACACTAGAGATGGGTTTCAGTCGTTATACCCTTCGGGACAATCGAACCCAGACTTTCGGCGTTTTAAGTTAACGCATTAACCTCGAGGCTACTCCAGCGTCCGAAACTCCTACGGGTTGTTAGTGGAGCTCTTTATGATGTTATTTGTGAGGCCAACACAATCTGTTTGGGAGCAACGCATACAATGCATGTACGATGTCTTCATATACTAAAACAATAAAACAAACGGTACCCGGTTTCTTCAAACCATATTAGAACATTGTCTTCCCTATAACACTGACATGATGGACTACACATTTAAATAGCTACAAGCATATGTATATTGTTTAGCTGGTACGTTATTCCTAAATTCCAAGGTGTTCTGTGGGATCGACAAAAATATTTCCTGGAAGCCGTGGTTTTGGTTAGGATATCATTTTGGACACTGAATATAAATATGTGACTTATTTGATAGCCAGGTCTATGGATAAGTTATTTCACAACAGAGAAACCTATATACAAATCCGTGGGACATGCCTATATCGAAGCTCGTGATCAAAGATTGTGTCTATATTCCTGTATGATATTTAGTACCTATAAAACAAAACTAACACATTAGTCATATTCGCCAAAACTATCCTCAGCTGGTTGTAAGAGGCAACATAATGCATCAGTGGTCAGGTGCGGTGACTTGATAGCATGTCATCCTATCCCGGTCCCTGCTCATTATATCAATCACTGGATTGTCTGGTCCAGACGCCATTATAAACAGGCCGTGGTCTCCTAGCTGAGTATTGCTTAGGTGGCGTCGATATGTTCAACCAAATATAACAACTGAAAAATCCTCTTCAGATAACATGATACGATATGCATCTCTATTAAAGTGCTAGAAATACCACTTACAATAGCGGGTCTAGACATCCTACATGCAAATCCCAAACTTAGGTCATCTGGTATTTACTGATATATTTCTAATATGTGACATTTCATATTATATTATTCATGATGGTATGAACAATGAATCCTTGTTCAGTCAATATAAGTATGGATTAATGGGAGCAATGATATTGTCAAGGCAATTTTATCTGCCCTTCCCGTGTTCTGAATGAACACACATACATTTATCAACGAATTATTACTTACCATTCGGATATAAAGTCACAAGAATCACTAACAGGATATAGCTAACGAACTGTCTCATCCTGCAAGTATTAGGTGGCGGCTTTGTGGCCACAACTGCTTCTATCAGGGCTGTGAGATGAAAAGGAAACTAGCTGATATCGCATGTCACAAACGCCGCTCAGGCCCCGTGACCCATGACATGTAATATTAGCATAAGTATTTGAGATTACAACAGGTCCCAAGAAATGAGTCCTCGATACGATCTGATAAGGAGTGATGATACTAACATGTCACAGTTGTCAGTTCAGTACTTGTGGGCGAGATAAGTGAATATTATCAGCAACAATGACATTTAATTGCCATAAGTCCAACACATCTTCACTATAGCAAAAGTCTTCATTATAGGATATGAAATGGGAATCAGAAACACTCTTACCACAAGAAATCAAATTTATCGTTTCATTGTCAATATAGGAACGGGTTTGACATTGAATAAAGCATCCATATATTCTCTGATTATTGCAATTAAATAAAACAAAATCAGACATGTATCAGTTTTTGAATTTTCATCACACATAATAAACTGTTTAACATACAGAGTGTGTTTACAACCGCTTGACGAAGCGCAGCTCCAAAACGCACCACATGGTGTATAGTATCTAATATAGAATGTCTGGGATAGGAGTGTAAACACAAATAATCTTTGAACAGTACTAATTAATAGCTGTCACTTGACTGACCCATGATCGCTGACTAACCCTTGATCATGTATACCGAGGGGCGGTAGGGTAGTCTAGTGGTTAAAGCGTTGGCTCGTCACGCCGAAGACCCGGGTTCGAATCCCCACATGGGTACAATGTGTGAAGCCCATTTCTGGTGTCCCCCGCCGTGATGTTGCTGGAATATTGCTAAAAGCGGCGTAAAACCAAACTCAGTCAGTCAGTCATGTATACCGAGAGACTATTTTCTGACACAGTCCATACTGTCGCTTGTAACCCTAAACAGGTGCAATATTGCTGGAGCGACATAACTCTCCTCACTTGTGTGTAGAGCCATACTTGATGTATTAATTAAACTTTATGTTTACGAAGAAAGAAATCTAGAACGTTCAATAGTTATATGCAATAAAGCTTTGTTAATTATATAATTGAAACATTATCTCATGCAAAATTATTTCCAACAGTATCTTTTACATTCTTCTTGAAACAATTTAAATGAGCTATTCTATCCTATTGTGTCGCCCAAAGCTCTGTGCGGAGTAAAATTTATATTTTCAGAATTCACAGTTTGCTGTGGCTGATTTTGTGTACAAATGTATAAAATCATACGCTCAATGGAAAACAAGAACGCTGGTGCGCTTTGAAACAATACATATAACTGACAGATGTGTTATGTCCGATTCCACTTATTGGAGCTTGCAAGTACGACATTCGCCAGACAAACCATCGTATGGAAGCAGTTGGATGTGATGTTTCGACTTTTTCAACAGTACTGTGAATACGTGAAGTTCTCAAATGACGACATAGTGGCATGATGGAATGGACAAACGTGATGTAGAAAGCCCTTTACGACGTCCATCAAACAATACCCATCGTTTACACTTATAAACACTGATACACACGTGGCCATTTTCACCAATGATTCAACGCAGATCTCAAAGAGAGTTATACGACTCGCCTGTTTGATTAGAGTTGCAACATTGGATCAAACGAAAACAGTTGGAGACAATTACCCAATTTGATACATCTGTGAGAAATATACAGATGCAGTTTTGCCTGATATGTTCCCGTGTTAGTTCAGCTGGATGCTTGACTTGCCTTTGCGTGTGTTTGTGATGGCTCCCGTGTTAGTTCAGCTGAATGCTTGACTTGTCTTTGCGTGTGTTTGTGATGGCTCCCGTGTTAGTTCAGCTGAATGCTTGACTTGCCTTTGCGTTTGTTTGTGATGGCTGCCAACGGTGGTGCAGTATACGCTGATGTTTTCAATAACCCTTTTCATTAGCATTGTGTGCTGGACACTCATTAACACATTAACACATGATGAACATTGTACACGTAGGACACATCGTACAACAAAACAGCGTTTAGCAGATACATGGCATGATTACTGTCAATTTGTTGCTCGGACCGTTCTAAAGCAATAATCTGATTCCAAAATCAAACGCTCGTTCAAATATATTACAATTTTGATGTTCAGTGATAAAGTGCGTATTGTATGAGACTGTGCGATCTCCTACAGGGGTAAAGTGGTTGGCACCAGCCCCGCTCTCTAACTAAACCATTCCATCATATACATGACCGCACTCTGCGAATGGATTGCAGGAATTGTCTGTCAAATACACACAAGTTTGTATATGCCCCTGCAAAAACAACGTTTAATCCCAATTTGACACATATTTTTATTAGCTTGTGCTTGTCTCTTGTGCCATGCTGCATGTATATACAGTACAACCAGAAATTATTGAGAATTTAAAGATTTTATTTTTTTTTTTTCACTCATTACTCACGTATTAAATGTGAATATTAGCAGAACATAACTCCAGATTCAACAGGTGAACAGTTAGTATTTTGTCAAGTCACCATGGGCAGCAATGCAGGCTTCAATGCGGCGGGGCATACTACTGATCAAAGAAGTTAGAAAGTCGTGGTCCATGCTGTCCCAATATCGGATCACCATTTTCTATTGGATTTAAGTCAGGGCTATAGCTTGGCCAATCTAATAAACCAGGCCTGTGAATGCTTTGAACGATGTTTTGGTTAGTTGTCCTGCTGGAAAATCCACAAATTTCCATAGAACACGTGAGTAGATGGAAGTAATATCTGTGTACCGCTCACTGTTCATATTCCCTTCAAATACACAGCGGGGCGTTGCCCCTAACACAGATATGCCCCCCCCCACACACACACACACGTTTCATGATCGGTGATGGAATTCCTCGACTTTTCTGCCAACCCATTGCATGCATCTCAGTTCTAATTGTCTCCTTACAGACAGACACAGTTCCTCTATGAATCATATCCAGCCTTAAATTTTCTAAACTCCTTCGTTTGTTTTTAGAAACAAGAATACCAAGCCGCCTCCTGTCACCGACAGTCAATTTTCTGGGCCTACCTGCGCCTCCCTGGTGCTCAATGCCATATCCATTTGCAATATTTTTCAAAACACGATAAACAGTGGACAAAGGGATGCCTGTTCTACTTGAAATCACTTTAGCTGACCTGATGTCCTTGTTATAATACTCTAACATCAACTTCCTCTTCTCTAAATCATCCATACTGAGGATCACTGAAAATGTCGTCTGCTAGCAAGTAAACATAGGGGGATAACTCTTCACAAACTAATGAAAAAGGATTTACGGAGTTGTCTCTCTTGAATGAAACAAAGCACTTGATAGCTGGTCAAGGTTGTTTATACTAGAAATCCAATTAAACATATAAAATTCTCAATAATTCTGGTCATACTATACATGTGGATGCTTGATATATACGGTTGTGAAATGGTGTTATCTCACTTGATATATGCACTTAGCAAACACTCATAGTATCTACCACACAGTTGATATCTATATGAAGTACACACGTACTACCATGCTGATCTGTGTTTTAGCATTCTAACATTGGAGTGTGTGTGTGTGTATCATATAGCTTACACAATTCCTTCCCGAAATGGATTCCATTTGAGGTAAAAGGCAAGACGATATACTAAGTAAAATGATATAAAATGGTCACTGAAACTATGTGATGACACCCGGTGTTAGCATGTATTGTTCTGTCGGTAGTAGAGCTGATCGCCATGGTCATGCAACATGATATTACTGTTCGGAAAATGTCTGAACAGGCTATTACTAACTGCTAAATGTCTGAATAGGTTATTACTAACTGCTTAATGTCTGAACAGGCTATTACTAACTGCTAAATGTCTGAACAGGTTATTACTAACTGCTAAATGTCTGAATAGGTTATTACTAACTGCTAAATGCCTGAATAGGTTATTACTAACTGCTAAATGTCTGAATAGGTTATTACTAACTTCTTAATGTCTGAACAGGTTATTACTAACTGCTAAATGTCTGAATAGGTTATTACTAACTGCTAAATGTCTGAACAGGTTATTACTAACTGCTAAATGTCTGAATAGGTTATTACTAACTGCTAAATGCCTGAATAGGTTATTACTAACTGCTAAATGCTTGAACTGGTTATTACTAACCACAAAATGTCTGAATATGTTAGCTATTCACCTCTTCGTGTCACGGGGACTATTTTGTGACAAATCGATTTGGGCATTCTGAATGCATTTTTTAACATTCAGTCTGACTGCTTCACACAATCATGTTCCAGTTGACAGTGACTTCATGCCCACCATAACTTTCGCAACATCCAGCATCACCTGTATCTCTAGGTGGCGGAACATAGGCAACTGCGGTGGATAGGGTGGGCGGGGTTGATGGGAACGCGGAGTGGGTTGAGTTTCCATATATCTAATATTGTCTACTGTCAGAATAATAGTAATTTATGATCGGGTATCCCTGTCCCCGTGATATATATGACTATGGCTGTAACGATGCACCGAACTATCGATGGATTGCAATTCTTGAGTCTCCGACAGCAATTAATTCGATGGTAGAAGCGAAACACTATCGATGCATCGATAGTATGTGTGACTATCGATAGTTTAGTAATTGACTTCCGTTGATAAATGCGCAGCGCAAAATACAGGAAGTACCAGATTCGTTCACATTGATTTAGAGTTATCCGCCCCTGTTACCTCTTAAACAAACTTGATCTGGGTTTCAAGTTTCTTGTCAGTTATTAAAAGAGACCGAAACTACTTGTTTATATTTCATACAAACTACACATTCGTTTGGAAAATAACTTCAAATGAGACAATTCAAGGAGAAACAAACTATTGTTAGCATGTATTGCAATAGTTGGTCGCAGTAGACTATCGATATCATGTTGCAATAGATTATCGCCATCGCAATAGTTGTTTACTCCTCAATAGTCACCCTATATATGGATGAATGAATGAATGAGTGAGTGAGTGAGTGAGTGAGTGAGTGAGTGAGTGAGTGAGTGAGTGAGTGAGTGAGTGAGTGAGTGAGTGAGTGAGTGAGTGAGTGAAGTGAGTGAGTGAGTGAATGAATGAAACCGGACTC